GTTACTTGCACTTTCTAGCCGCAACAAAACGTCCCAGTAGAAACGCTGCAGCATGAAGGAGGCAGTGACAACGAGTTATGTAATAACTTTGAACAAAAACAATCAAAGCGAATGTGTCCATGGGTTGATCAACAGCGAGGAAGAGTAAACGTCATCATCCTAAATTTGAAGCTTTGTATAATCTAAAATAATTATAATATTACTTTAATAGAAGAATCTCTGCAAAAAAAAAAAAATTAATGAAAATCAAATTTTAACATGAATTTCTGAAAGAAAAAAAATTTATTAAAATATTATAATTTATTTATGGTCAAAAACTCATAATGTCCGAATAACACTAAAAACTGTGTAGAAAGGATGCTTTGAACCAATGACATTCATCCTTTCTAATATAAGCATGTTAGATGTAAGATCATCCTCATTGTTCAAATATTAAAAAACTTTTATGATATATATGATAAGCGTTTAAGAATATCTCACAAGATTTTAAATAAGATATTTTCCTTATTTATCTCTTAGGTTTTTTAAATTTATATTTTTAACGAGTGAGTTATATACAGATGGATTGCTCTAGGTTGTGTATTTGGGTATAAAAATCTGCCAGTGCCAAGTCAAGTTAAAATCCAGTGGTGATCCTTTATTTCCCGGATACTTCTTACTACCAAAAAAGATAATGAAAGAAACAAAAGATAATATTTTGTGGAACTCCATCAACCTGGTTTATAGCATCACATAAGTCTGTTATTTTTTTCAAACATTCTTTTTTCTATAATACTCTTAAATAAACCTATTTAGAAAATATGTCAAAAATTAATGTTTCAATTTTAGATTTTCATATTAAAAATTAAGTATTGATAAAGTATGGTCTTATAAGCTTCCATCATTCAACGGATTTACAATGTGCAACATATCAATCAAAGGAAAGTACGATCACATAAAGAATTACTTATACATAGTCTCTACCCAGCTAGGCCAGGTATGTATCTTTTCTATTTAAATTAAGATGTTTTGATATCTTTTTCAATTTGAGTTAACTAACATAATCTTGACTAGGCTATTTCTCTCATATGGTCTACATTAGCGCTAATACTCTTTTTTTTTCAAAATACATTATCTCTTTCTTACATTATTTATGATCATTTAAACTATTCTCTTTATTTATAGAAAAGTACAAGCACTCAATAATCACCAAGTTTTTCATATTTTTTTTTTTTAAAAATACAATATTCTCAATCCAAAAATAGTATTGAAAATTATGATTCTAATCTAAACTATTTATTCACGTATCCGCGCGTAGCGTGGAGAAAGACTCTAGTTTCACTAATACGTATAAACAGATAGCAACACAAATATAGATTGTGAAAGTAATTCTTTACAGTTGGCTTTTGAGTAAATGAAATATAAAGTGGTAAATTTGCCAAGAAAGAATAAAACAACCGACGTTGTTGTCAAACACAAACTCTCCATATTTCGAAAAAATATCTTTCCTAATGAAGTGTATGAAATGACAATATATGATCTTGAATTAGCCTTGAGCTGAAGTTTTTCTCTCGTCTTTCATCTTCCGTTAAAACAATCTGGATCAAGTATAACAATCTGTTTTTTTCAGAGACTAAATAGGCTTCCCAAATATAACAATCTGTTCAGAATATTGGTAAACTAATTTTATGAGATAACAGTGAAGTAAATGTATGCACATGAAAGCTCTCTAAGGTATTGTTATCTCAGTTATAACACTATATAATGCTTACAGAATCTTCGTATAACTTCGTTCAAGTCAAATAAAGTCTGAGGTAAAGACCACACAAAGAGGAAGACATAACAAAAGAAAAAAGAGAGATCCACATCCAAAAACAAATAATGAGGGTTGTGTATCAGAAATTTAAAACTGAGATGTCGCCTAAAAATAATGATAGGTAAGTTCCAGTCACCTTTAGGTTAAGGTAGCTTCCAATGCAAGTAGGATTCTTCACGGGCTATGTAGGGTTAGTATATATCATATATGGTCACGTGTGAGACTTACTGCAATAGCTTCAGCAGCTTTATTCCTTTTCCAAGAAACATTATTAAAACTCCAGAAGTCAAAATAGTTGAAGAGATTAAAAATAACCCGAGATAAGCGTTTGAAACATCAGAAACGTAAGTAGAAACGTCAATGCCTCTCTTGCTAGACCAACGCTGGATTCAGATATTACTTTCTTCTGATGCAAGTTTTCTGAGACTCTCCACAGCTCAAAAACATTGTCTGAGGCTCTGGTAAGAACATTCGGTATGAAGTCACTAGTTTGTGTTGCTGGATGTAACGTAACAAACTCATATATGTGAATATGTGATCTTGTTTATGCTGATTTGTCTGGTTGCTAAGTTAGTGGAACGTACTACAACTGGTAATCATTCAAACTTCTTTTAACTCCAACGGAAAATGTCAAATGTTAGGTGAACATTCAGTGTTATGTCTATGCCAAAAAAAATATATATATACGAACATTAATAGAGATCCCACATTATTGAAAACTTTCTCAAGCATTGATTTACAACTGAAAAATCCAATTTCATTAGTACGCATAAACAGATAACAACACAAATACAGATTGTGAAAGCAAATTCTTTACAGTTAGCTTTGAGTAATTGAAATATAAAGTGGTAAATTTGCCAAAGAAGAATAAAACAACCGAAGTTGTTGTCAAATCACAAAGCCTATACTATCTTCCTTCGTGTTTCCTTGAGTCTAAGAGGGCATCTTAGTGTTGTTGATCTCTTATACTCTGACTCCAGTGTTGAAGAAGAACTGATGCGGAAGTGCAGATTTTCCTGTCCTTGTGCCGTGTGAGATGACCAAGCCTCTCCATGATTCTCCTCGTTTCAGGAGCTGTTGCGCTTATGGAAAAACTGGTGAGCAAAGAGAGAGTATCCACACAGATTGATGTCTCTGCTTTAGCCGCTAGAAGTCCCTTTGCGTTGGCCACATCCGCTGATTTTTTGGCTATTTCGAACAGCTCCAACGTATCCTTATCGTTCTTCTTCATCACGGCCGGCACAAATTTACGGTTTCCAGAAACTTCAGGAATAGACTGCTTCTTCTTCGTCGCTTCTAGAGGCCTTGATGTTGAAACAGACTTGCAAGGCTTCTGCAGATTTTTATTAATCAGAGATTTAGGGTTTTGAGAAAGCTTCACTGGTAGAGACGATTGCTTCTTCGCCTGGACTGGTCTCGCTGCAAAAGACTTGCAACCGTCATCATTAGCCCTACCCTTCTCTGTTGTCTTCATCATCTTGTTGTTTCTCTCCTTTGTTGATTTGTGGAAGAGATTGAATCTGGAAAAAAAGAGGCAACTGTTGTAGCTAGGGTTTCACTGTCATAAGTCAAGTATGGAAATAGAGAGAGATAGAAATCATGGAATAGTGAATCATATTATATAGAGAGTCGATCGAATAACGAAAAATGGAAAACAAGATTTAACTTGGATCCCAAGTGTCGGTTATCATACATAATTTCCTTTTTTCTTCGATGGAGGGTGAAAGCGTCAGATATATTTCAACGTTAACACAATCAGGCTCAAATATTTACAGATTCACCAACAACACACGATCTTTGTTATCTTCGTTAAGTTATATGTCTGTTACGTTACAGCTGTCGGTTTTTTTTTTCTTTTTTTTTGCATTTAACTGAAATTTGAAATGTTCCGTAAACATAATTGAGTTATTCTTCCTTTTGGTAAGAATTCGATTAATTTATTTCCCTCATTTATTTATTTAATTTTCAGCTATTAGATCGTTATTACTATTTTTTTCTTTAGCTATTAGCTAGTTATTGTTATTGATTTGTATATCCTGTCTTTGTGGAAAAACTGTATCATGGGGTTGTGTTGTAGTTTTATGATGCAGTTTCCATGTAACCCAAAAGGAATGTGTAGAGAAAGAAATTTCAGCTAACCATTACCATTGTGGTCGTGAATACTCTTACCACATGGCGCTGACAGTTTTTTTTTTTTGGTTTATACTAGAAAATTTAGATATGTGAGACTATAATTGCTTAAATCGATCAAATTAAAAAATTTGGAAAACCAAAAGTTATCCAATCAACTAGATTCTAAGTATGTAAATTTCTCAAGCTCAAATTTTTTGATGAACACATTCTATCAGTCTTTTAAGTATTAAAGCTTTGAAGTACTGATTCCTGAACCCATTTGTCTGTTCAACTTCAACGACTTGTTGTCTTTTTGGCCAATTTTACGAGCTGGGATCACTAAACCTGTAAAGAAACAAACTCTCGAACAATACCAAGAAGTAAGAACACATACAACTTGGACTCTGAGGTTCTTGATTGTTTCTTGGACATTAGCTACCGTCCAGCACAACAGCCTAAGCAAAAAAGACTAAAAGGAATAAGTGTTGAACTGGAAAGCAATGATCCTTGTGTGTTTCTTGGATTAACAATAATATGTCAAAGGCATTGCTTCATACAAGCCTGAGTGTCATGTAAAAAGTAAATTGGTTCGTATAAATTCAGAAACGGTTCGGTTTTGTATTGATCTTTGAATGCTCATCAGTTCCTTGATGGACTGGTATTGTAGTAGCAGTTTTCTATCAAATCTAACGCCTGATGGTTTTATATACGAAAATGAAACAGAGGAGCAGAAAAGGATTGATTATCCTCTGAGTTAATGTCAGGTAAAAATGGAAACTTTCTCAAGTATTGATTTACAACTGAAAACAAATCTAGAGATCAAAATCCAAATTTCGTTGATGATAAACAGAAGAAAAGAACAAAACTTGTACTTTAACAACAAAATAAAGAATGTGAAAAGCATTCATCACTGTTAGCTTTTGAATGGTTGAAACATAAAGTGGTGACTACATTAACTCTATTTTACCAAGAAGAATATAACAATTGTCGAATAACAAAGCCTACTACTGTCCTTGATTTTTAGAAGGCATCTTAGTGTTGTTGTCAAATCACAAATCCTACTAAATCCTTCGTGTTACTGTCTTTGAGAATCTTAATGTTGTTGATCTCTTATACTCTGATTCCAGTGTTGAAGAAGAACTGATGCGGAAGTGCAGATTTTCCTGTCTTTGTGCTTCGTGAGATGACCAAGCCTGTCCATGATTCTCCTCGTTTCAGGAACTGTTGCGCTTATGGGAAAACCGATGAGCAAAGAGAGAGTATCCACACAGATTGATGTCTCTGCTTTAGCCGCTAGAAGTCCCTTTGCGTTGGCCACATCCGCTGATTTCTTGGCTATTTCGAACAGCTCTAACGTATCCTTATCGTTCTTCTTCACCACGGCTGGCACAAATTTAGGGTTTCCAGAGACTTTCAGAGTCGACTGCTTCTTCTTCGTTATCTCTAGCGGCCTTGTTGAAACAGACTTACAAAACTCGTCATGAGGCTTCTTCTTCTTCAGGTTTTTCTTAATCAGAGATTTAGGGTTTTGAGAAAGTCTCATTGGTGGAGCCGATTGTTTCTTCGCCTGGACAAGCCTCGCTGCTGCAAAAGACTTGCAACCATTATCATCATCAGCCCTAGCCTTCTTCTCTGCTGTAATCGCAGTATGCTTCATCGTCCTCATGTTATTGTTTCTTTCCTTTGTTGATTTCTTTTTCGAAGAGAATGAATTTGGAAAGAGGGAACCGTATCTAGGTTTCACTCTCGAAATCAAAATATGGAATATGTGTGTGTGAGAGAGAGAGAGAGAATCAGAGGTATTATATAGAGCAGAAACAAATAACTTGATTACCAAGACACATCGGCTAAGTATAAACTTCAAAACGAAGTCGTAGTGCTGTTGATACATAATTTCCTTTTTTCTTCGACGGAGGGTAAGTGCGTCAGATCAATATCTCAACGTTAACAAAATCACGATCAAATATGTAACAGAATCAACATTAATATTTTTTTTGTAAGAGAAACAAATATTAATCAATATTTAAAAAGAATAGAGGATATAACAGAGAAAAAAACAGAGCTACAAGATGTATGTTTAAGTTTTCTGTATAAACTTAGAGAGTTTTAAGAAACAGTCGATAGATCATTTTCTATTATAGGATACATAAAACTTAATTGTAATTTATGAACTCTCAAATCTCCTTTCTTTATCTTTGCCTCTTTCTCTCTCGTGCAAAGCTAGTTGAATGAAGACATTACAATAGAACCATCACAGCTTTGAGAAAAGTAGACATGGAAACACATGAGCCCAATATGGCTAAAACAACAGAGCAACCCGAGACTCTTACTTAACCGGTTTTAAGAACCAGTCAGACCAGATTGAGATTAATTCATATGAACCGGGTAGACTAAGCAGTACCGTCATCATAGCAATTTGCAAAAGTCAAGAAAGACCAAAGCAACCATAAGGTTCAAATAAATGGTTGCCAAGAACCAGTGTTGGTACCAGCATTAGCAAATGTTGCCAAAATGTTGAACATTAATACATATATTATATATATATATATACAAAAACCAATTTCAAGACTTACAATCTAAGCAGAGAAACATAGCAAAAGCAGCACGACCAGAAAGAAATGTTCACAGACTTATTTGCCAGAGTTGAAGCCACCACAGACTGAGAGGGTGATGATGAGAATCAAAGCAATGATGATTGCAAGAACAATTACTTTCATCTCCATGTCTTGAAACCGCATCTTTCTTCTCCTTGGTCTCATGAAAACCTCTTGCTGTACACAGTTTATTACTTCAATTAAAACTCCGAGAACACAAGAAAAGTAAACAGTAAGAGAGAAATAACTGTAACTCAAAGCATGTCTGTGTGTGTGGACGTTGAGCCATTTGCATAACAGAACTAACCTCTGAGCTGCAACCGAAAGTACAAGCTGTCCCACGGCTAAGAATCTGCAAATGAATGTGTTCCACAATGTATTAATGGTTAATGGTTGAACAGCAGTTTTATGTCTTTACAACCATAAATTTATTGTACATTCCTTTGTATTGTTAATGCTTTATAAACCAAAAGATCCTGGAACTTAACACATACTAGCTAAACTCTATTGGAACCAGGTTAAGAAAAAAAAAAGAGGGTCAGATTTGAACCTCATTAATTGCTTTTATCATGGCATCTTTAACTTCAGACTGTTGAGCGTTCATCTTAGCAAGCTTGCTAATCTCATCAGGATGATCCATACAATACTGCATGTGCTCTTTGAGTATTGACCTTTAGAGCAGCCAGAAAAAGGAGTCAGACGACAATGCACATGAACATAGCTTAAACTTTTACAATAGCAATCAAATAAGATGATCAAATATAAGTACCCAAATTCTTTATTCAAGCTGTTTGCTTGAGCAGTAGCAGCCTTTCCACCACCATATCTCTTGTTGAAATCCTCCTTCACTCGTTCCAAGAAGGCCATACGAATCTGCCACCCATCAGAATCAACTGCAACAACACAATAGGCTGCACAAAAGTATAACAAAAATAATTAAAGACCATACAGAGAAACAAGACAGAAAACAAACAAGAGTAAATCCCACCACACCACCATCAACATCACATGAAACCCAATCAGATATAGTAAAACAGAGCTACATAATGAATATTCCTACGCAATTGCTCAAAGGTTATATTCCCAACTCTGTCATCTAGCCCTGCCGTTTCAGTTTTTGTTTTGTTTTGTTTTATTGGGGTCCGATATTTCGGTTTCTGTTAATTCGGTTCCGTTACAATACCACTGAATGTAACTGAAAAATATCGGTTTGGTTTGTTAATTAATTTTTGGTTTTTCAAAATTTACTGATCGAATCAATTACTTGGTTTTGGTTAGATGTTGGTTTAAATTTTGATTATATTTATTAGTTAAATTCGATATTTTGGACAATTCGTTATTTCGTTAATTCATACAAAAAATGAAAAAAATATTGAAAACCGAATTAACTGAATATCAAACCAAACAGAAAACCAAAATATTTTCAAACCGGAAACCGCAGGGGATAGT